TCATGTAATGGAAATGGACATTATTCTTATGACCATAAAAAAGTAAATGTATTTACTAAGAAAAATAATAAAGGAAGTAGGTTAATAATAAAAAATGACAATAAAAATAATTATGACAATAGACAATATAATAATTATAATAAAAGAAACTTTACTAAACAATACACTGGAAAAAGAAGAGTAGTTTTTAGGAAAAGAAATAGTTATTATGGGAACTGACAACACTCGGAATATTTTGATAATTTGAATACAGACCAAAAATTATTGAGGATAACTAATAATATGAGAAATGAGATACATGAACCACAGATAAATTTTATACAGACAGCCTTAATGATGACATTAACATCTATATTAGGAAATAAATTAAAGGATTTGATAATCACTGCTTTAAAAGACAAGACCGGAAAATTTCTTAAAAGCCATTTTAGGAAATGATGTACAGAGATAATCCATGAATTTATAATATCCCAATTAAAAGGAAAGTTCACTGAATATCTAACAGATTTTATAATGACATATGTAGAAGCTAATATGGATAAAATATTAACTAACAGTACAACTCAACAGATAGCTGAAAAAATCACCAACAATATAGTTAATGGTTTAGGGACATATTTATTTCATTAGAAAACTCAACGTTATAATATCTCTAATAGAGCTTTATACTGATACAAAAATCTCTTTTTTGTTGACTGTATGACTCATCTATTTTAACCCAAATTTCCGAAGAGACCACGGTAATGAAAAAAAATATATAAAAGGTTATAAATGCCCTAAAAGTAAAAACATATCAAGGAAGTGAAAAAATGAGTACTAACTATTTTAAAGAGACATCCTCTAAAATACAGGAAATAATAAGAATAACTAGACAACTCACAGATAAATGGATGGGACCTGTGAAAGTAATATGTGTTACACCTCAAATAACTATAGATTGTCAGTTTGAACAATTTATGAAAAAAAACATTGGAACAATGAAAATAAGAAGATAAAAACAATAGAAATAGAAAGAGAACAACAGCAAGAGTTAAGCACCCAAAAATCAAATAATCAAAATATAAAGAAAGAGAAGGGGATTCTTAATCAGAAAATAGGAATAGATGAATTAGCTGAAATAATAAATAATGTAAGTGAAAGGCCTATAGAAAGACTAAAAATTTTGTTGGAAGAACAAAAAGAAGAACAGGAATTAAAATAGAGTAAAGACAAAAGAAACATAAAATAAGTACCATAGGATAAAATCGAGAATAATGAAAACTATAAGAAGGGGACTTTGGGACATTTGAGATCAAAAAAAAACAAACAAAAAAAAACAACAACAACCATGGTCAACCAAAATAACTTTGAAAAAATATTAGAAGATAGAATTTATATCCATGAGCAAGTAAAAAGTTTAAGAGAATGGTATAATAATAAAATACAAGAATTTGATGATACCTTTGAAGAAATGCAAATACTTTGTAAAAATACAGATAGGAGCAAAAAATCTTGGAAAAATTATAAAAGAACAATGAAGTGAACTACATCTCAAAAATTAAGAACAAAAATCTGGAAAATTCAAAGAAAAATCAGCAAATATGACAGAAATATATGAAGAGGAAACATTAAAAGATTTTGGAAAACTGAAC